TTTTTTAATATTTTTTTAATAACAATTCAATTTTAAACAAATGAAATGCAAAAAGTATTTACGAAATCATAAAAAGAAAGAAAACAATTGCAACCAAATGAGATTAGAGAAATCATCCCTTTAACTTCTTTCTTCAATTTTTTTATTCTTTTTTTTTTTTTTTTGTCATATGTAACACCGTTGGGGACTGGTGTAAGACGACAATATACCTTAGTGGGGGTTTTGTAATTATGCAAATATATGGGAATTTTCATGATTAGCCTTACCCCAGGGGTTCTCATAATTTACTCTTAACTGTTTTTCAAATAACATAAGGGCAAAACACATTTTATGTGGATTTAAATGGTCAAACACTGGCCAAAGGGGAATTTTTGTAAATAGGCCTTACTTAAGGGGTTTTTTATAATTTGCCCTATAATTAATTATCATAGGAAGAAAAATAAATCATTGCACTAAAAAAATATGCTTAAAATGATTCTATTCTTCCAAACACCAAATAAAAACGTATCAACAAATTATGATAGACAACTAATTAAAAGCCATAATTATGGCCATCCCCTCAAATTTTAATTTGGTTTACTATTATATATGTATATATATAATATATTGTATTTGTATTGTGCTCATAATGTTAAATAATATACTCTTACACATAAGATAAAGAAGTTACGTATTGTGACTTAGAACCAGAGGTGTGTCACCCTTGGGCAAGTAAGAATTTAAGTCAACACTCAGTCGAAAATTGTCCACTATATTACACCGATATATTTATTAAGTCCTTCCAATTTTTATCAGGGGAATGTACAGTTTGCACCCTTAAACTATGAGTTTGTCCCACATACCCCTAAACTACGAAAGGTACTAAAAAGACCTTGTTATTTATGGTCAACGTCAAATAAATAACATCGTTCAATTATAATCTGAAATTTACTTATTTGGCAATCATTTTCTCCTTTTTCTCTCTATTTTCTTCAACTTCTCGTCATTTTTAACAGGAGTCCTCTCCTCTCTCTCCCCCCCTCTCATCTCATTTCTCTCTTCTTATCCTTCTCATTCTTCTCTAAACTTACCTTTAAATCCCAACTTCATATGTGTTCGCCATTTCCGAAAATGGTCATAGCTATTTCATTGTCAACCAACACATCCCAAGTACTGCTCATGAAATCATCGTCCCATATGCTAATAATCCTCAGAAATCAACGATGATTATCTTCGCTCTCGTTTGAAGAGCGCCCGCCGCCACCGGGGCAATAATAGGAGGAAGATGAAGATTATGAGGGGTCGGGGTTGATGAATTTTCATCGGGGGAGCAAAATTTATGGTATTCAATCGGATTTCGTCGATGTAGTTAGTGGTGGCATCAAATGGGCTCTCGATTTTGTGTTCCACTTACTGGCTGACAATGGTTGAGTGGGCTCCACATTATCCTTCATTATCTTTGGTTCCACCGCCGTTTCCGGTGGTGGTTCGTCGGCGTTGGTGGATGGTGGCAGAGGCTTGTGGGTAAGATAATCGATTCTCAATTTCCTTAGCTGCTTCTTGACGAGGAGCAATCTTCTTCTTCACAGTGAATACTGTCAAATTTGAGGTGAATTTGAAGGCTTTGTTTTGTGCACATGTGGAGAGAGAAGAGTTAGTACCGCGAACATTATAGATTTTTCCCTTTTTATTTTTTTGAATTTATTTGTATTTAATAAAAAACAATTTTGTATTTTGATTGTTTAGAAATTTAAATATTATTGAATACTTAGTAAGCAACAACGAAAATATTTATAACATTTAATAATAAATATAAGAGTTTTAAGAGTTATTTATATTTAATATTTATGCAAGGGGTAAAAGCGTTCGGAAAAATGGAACAATAAAAAAATCAAACATAAAGAAGAAAGTCAACATGCCACGTCATCATCAACTAACATATTCTAAACGGAGCACCAGTTTGTTACATTTTGTAGTTCGGGGGCTTTGGTACAAACTCCATAGTTGACGGGTGCAAACTGTAATTTACCTTTTTTATTATATAGTCGACCTACAATCCATATTACTGCAAAAAAATGTCATAAGCTTATGTTTTCCCATCTTCTAATCTTTGTAAATAAAAAAAAAAAAAACGTCTCAATATTTACCGGAGGTGTGACCAGGGGCGAGTCCACCCAAGGGCTAGGGTGGACTCAAGCCCCCCCTCACTTTCAATTTTTTTTTCATTATATATATATATATATATATATATATATATATATATATATATTATTCAATTATATTATTTAAGCCCACTTATTTGTAGTACACTTACTCAAAGCCTCCATGTACATTCTATTTATTTTTGTAGTCTATTCAATTATATCCTATTTATTTTTTTTAGTCTATTCAATTATATTATTTAAGCCCACTTATTTTTAGTCCACTTACTCAAAGCCCCCCATGTCTGACTTGCTCTCATCTTCTATTTCTCAACTTCGTTACGTTTCTTGAAAAAGAAAAAAAAAACTTTGTTCTGTCCCACATGCACACTAATAGCGGTTAAATTGCCACCCACCGACGATCGTTTAGCATTTGACAACTTCTTTCTCATCTTAATTTTCAGATTGGATATCAATTAAAAGTCGATTGTGTCAATTTGATAATCGACTTGATATTCATGTTTCTTAAATTTTCATAGCAATTTAGCTTTGATTCGTTTTGGTATTATCTTCTGAAAGTAAAGGAAAAAAAATTCGTATCAAATTTTTATCTCAAATTTCTTTGGTAGCATTTTTTTTTCGGGGGCGCTGCCCCCGAACCCCCGTGTGTTTAAGCCCCCCCTCACCAAACTTTCTGGCCTCGCCACTGGGTGTGACCGCTCCCCCGAACCGCCGAAAATGATCATTAATTTTTTTATATTATTTTAATATATATTTGGCCCCAGATGGATGAATCCTTGCTTTGCCAGTACCCATTTTAGTTTGATTTTTTATATTGTATGTTATCATATTACAGTTTGACTTATAGTTTAGGCACCAAGTTAGTTGTAACTAATGTAATGCGCATTATAAAGTAAAATCAAGTAAAAAAAAGAGAATATTAAAATAGAAGATTAAAGAAGGAACTCTAGATGGTTTATGATAAACAAACATAGTATTTATCTATCTATATCTATATCTATATTCCTATAAAAGTGTGAATTTTATGGGATGTTTTCTCCATTTTTTGCATAGACAATAATATCCTTTGAATAGGTACATTTGAAGGTTAATTACGTAATATTTATTAATAATAATTACTTGTACACAAACAAAATTCTTCTAAACTAATTAAACTAATTATTACAATACATGGAAGCAGTGGCGGATCCAGGATTTTTGCCAAGGGGGTGCTAAATTGTAGAATAAAAAATTTAAATATCACTTTATAAAAATAGTGGACCAAAAATTTACAATTTAAAAATTTTAGGTGAATTGTGTAAATATTTAAAGAGAAAAAGGGTGAAAAATGTAAAGATTTGAAAAAAAATCAACTTTTTCGAGGCTGGGGGTAGGGCTGGGCATTTGGGATCGGGATTCGGGATTCGGGATCCCGTCCCGTCCCGATCGGAATTTTACTATTTGGGACTAAAACTTCGGGAATTCGGGATTACGGGATTCGGGATTGGGATTAGGAACAAATACGGGATCGGTATTAGGGAATTGGTTCAATACCGATCGGGATATTTTAATCCCGAATTAGGAAAAAAAGAAAAAAAAAACTAATAAAAAAATACACACACACACACACACACACACACACATATATATATATATATATATATAGTCAAGGAGATGAGAAATACAATATAAAATATATTGTTTCAACTTATTTTTAAATTTTTAAAATTTTATTTGTTCCAAGTTTTGTGGTAAAAATAAATAAGGCAAGAACAATAGTATGTATATAATATATTTAGGACCGGCAATTGAGCCGGGCCTGCCCGAAGCCCGATGGCTCAGCCCGATTTTATTTGAGCCGAGCTCAATAAATTGTGTGCCGGGCCGAGTTTGAGCCTTTTTAGTAAACCCGATTAAACTATGAGCCGAGTTTGAGCTTACCATAGCTCAACCCGAATAAAGCCCGACTAAGTTAATAAATATATTCAAGTTGGTTTAGTGTATAAAATACTAATGGAAAAAAGATGCAATATTTCTTAGTTTTTAGACAAAATATGGGATTTCCCGATCCCAATCCCGATTCCCGAAATATTTAGGGATACCGATATAACCGGGATTTAATAGTTTGGGACGGGATTGGGATTTAAAATTTCTATCCCGAATCCCGAAATCCCGATCCCGAAATTCCCGAATTCCCGAAATCCCGTCCCGAACTCACCCCTAACTGGGGGTTCTAACCCGGGACCAATTAACAAAATAAGGAACACCTTTACCAACTCAACCAACTACTCTTCTTGTGAACTTATGTATAACGGTATTATTTGTTTAAAATTAAGGGTGTGCAACTGCACACCCTAGACCATGGCTAGATCCGCCACTGCATGGAAGACTTCTTACGTTTATGAGACTGCATCTTTCCATGTTCCTTTTCTCTATTTTTATTTGGGGCTCTTTGAGAAAACCCCCTCACTACTTTTTTTAATTGAGGGAGGCCCAAAATATTTTAGACCATTTGAGAAAAGCCCATGATCCAATTCAGCCATTGTGTTTCCCAGTTTTACCCCCGTCCGCCACCTCATCACAGCTAGGTCACGCGGTCCAGCAATTTTTTTTTTTTTCCGTTTTTTTAATCGACTATGAAGCATAGTCGATTAAGCCTTAATCGACTGTGCTTCATAGTCGATTAAGGAAATTCTTTATTTTTTAACTTTTTTTTGTTTCTAATTTTTTTTTTAATTTTTTTCTCTATCAGGTTCATTAATGGATAGTCGATTAAACATTTAACTACTAAAAATAACAAATCACAATTACAAAAAAAAATACAAAAACAATTATATTTAAAAAAAATACAAACATTGTAATTGATTTATACATTGTAATCAATAAACAAAAAAAAAAAAAAACAAAATAACAACTAGAGTCGGTTAACCTTAATCGACTACTGAACATAGTCGATTAAGCCTTAATCAACTATTGAACATAGTCGATTAAGCCTTAATCGACTACTGAACATAGTCGATTAAGCCTTAATGCTCTTCTGCCACGCTCCCACCAACCCAACATCCAAAAAACGCCGCCATAACCATCACTACCACACACACATACGCCACCGCCAGCAGACCCATCGCAATCTTCCACCCAAAACCGCCGCCGCCAGAAGACCAATCGCAATCCTCCACCCAAAACCGCCGCCACCAACAGACCCATCGCAATCCTCCACTCAAAACCGCCGCCACAACCATCATTACCATCACCATCCACGCACACATACGCCGTCGTTTTTGCACTGCTTCAAGCTTCCCCTGGCTCGTTTTCTTCCCCTCTCGATGTGGAACCTAGTCGGGCACTCGACACAGGAACACTCTCCTATTATAAAGGCATCAACTCGATCGTAAGGAATAAGCGCCACATCATCACATCGCTCGGCGGTTCCAAACTTGACCCACTCCAAATCGGCTGAAGAGAAATCTTCACCGGGCGGATCCTGCACTTGCAGATTATCGATGGATTCGATTATTTCCATCTGCTTCGATTTTTTTAAACCTCTTAATTGAAGCTTATGCTACTTACAACAGAGCATACCTGCAGAAAAAAATCGACAAATTAAATAAGCAAGAACAAGTCTAACATTTATATAAGCTTCATCATATCACAACCAACCTATTTATTTCTCTTAACGCACATCAATTATTAAAAAAAAAATACACAAAAACACCAATTTGTGTATTTATACCCGAATTCAATAACAGAAACAACATAAAAATATACAGAAACAAAATTACAGCATGTTTTATACAAAATTCGAATCACCAAAGGGCAAATTGAAAAGCACCAATTAGTTGTGAATGGGTTTTTATTTGGAGAAATGACAGAGAACTTACAGCTCGACTCCATGGAAAACACGTGCTCAAAAACAGTAGAGAGAGAAAGAAAGAGGGGTTTTTGAGGGGCAGAGATTTCTTGACGGTAGCAGACCCATCGCAATTTATGATCGGCGGTGGTGGGGAGGCTGCTTCGTCAGCGGCGGCAGGGGCTGGAGGTCGGGGCTGGGTCTATAACGGTTGGATTTGTGTGTGTAATTTGTGTGTGTGTGTGTTTGTGTGTGTGAGAGAAAGAGGAGATAGATAGAGAGAGAGGAGATAAGAGTGAGAATGTGACGTGGGTTTGTTGGGGGAAGAGGCCACAATGGGGCAACTTGGTCAATGGCTATAATCTAGGGGTAATAAGGGTGGTTTGGGAATTATTAAATAATATTTAGGTAGAATATTAGGTAAGGGGTTTTCTCTAATTATGTTTGGGAGGGGGGTTTTCTTAACTCATTTACCTAGATGAGGGGGGTATTGCTAATTATCCCTTTTTTATTTTTTCACCTTTTTCTCTATTTTTTTTTTTTCACCTTATAACTTGTAAATGACCTTTCATTGACTATTTAACCAAATGATAATTAACAATTATTTATTCATTGAGTAATAAGCAATACATGAACACAACATAGAATATATAGTCGTTGAGTATCCTTATACAATCCATTAATCGTAGAGAATGTGATTTTATAAAAGGGCGAATGGCAAATAGGTCCATCACATGGGACTTAAATGTATATTAATTGATCCATAAAAAAAGAAAACAGTCTTTCAAATAAACGTATCTCCATGTCTTTAGTCTAAAATACTATTCATAATATAATTCTTATCAATTCCATCCATTATGTTCTAACTTCCTTAATATTACACATTGACCCCGGATTTAAACAAATATATCACATTAACCCCCAAACTAATATTTTTTTAAATTTCTTTTTTTGTTTCTGAATTTGCCAAATTCCGGCGTTGACTTTTTTTTTTTTGAAAACTTTTTTTTTTCTGAAATTTTTTTCCAGCCGGTCAACCACTGTTGACCGCCGGTCTCTGGCGTTGACTTTTTTTTTTCTTAGAAAAATAATATTTTAATTAATATTACAGTCTTGGCTACTAAATTACTGTCTCAGACAGTAATATTACTGTTTGACACAGTAATATTATGAATATTATTTTCCCGAACAGTAATATTATTAATATTACTGTCTGAGATAGTTAAATTACTGTTGGAGACAGTAATTTAGCAGCCAAGACAGTATATTAATTAAAATGATTTTTTTTAAGAAAAGAATAATAAAAAAAGTCAATTAACAGTTAAATTACTGTCTCCGACAGTTAAATAACTGCTGGAGACGGTAATTTGGCAGCCAAGACAGTAATATTAATTAAAAATATTTAAAAAAAAATTAATTAACTGTTAAATTACTGTCTCCGACAGTTATTTAACTGTCAGAGAGAGTAATTTAGCAAAGAATACAGTAATATTAATTAAAATATTGTAAAGAAAAAAGTCAATTAACAGTTAAATTACTGCTCGAGACAGTAATTTAACAGCCAAGACAGTAATATTAATTAAAATATTTTTGAAGAAAAAAAAGTCAATTAATAGTTAAATTACTGTCTCCGACAGTTAAATAACTTTTGGAGACAGTAATTTAGTAGCCAAGACAGTAATATTAATTAAAATATTTTTTTAAGAAAAAACAAAATTATAAAAAAAAAAAAAAAAAAAAAAAGTCAACGCCGGAGATCGGCGGTCTCCGGTGGTGGCGGGTCAAAATTGAAATTAGGGTTAAAATTGGTTAATTGATGAAATTGGGGTGTAAATCATGAAATTGAAATTGAATTGAGTTTCAATGAATTGGGGGTAATTTTAGTATATATAAAAGGATTTTCTTTTTTTGCAAATAAGTTTGAATGGGCTGGATTTATTTGAAAGACAAAAAAGTTGAATGTCCCTCTTTTAACTAAGTGCCCTCGTCATGGGCTTATTTGAAAGACAAAAAAGTTGAATGTCCCTCTTTTAATCCAATGCAAAAGACTCAACAAGAGAGGGCGTTCGTAAAACACATGACCATACGATTTTATATGTAGTTTGATCTTTTTATCTTTCCTTTTTTTTTTTCTCTCTTAAATAATTAGGTCTTGATATTGATGTGATCGAATATCATAACTATTTTATTAGTAGGTGAATAAGTTTCTTAAATGCATGTAACAACTTAACTATCAGTTCTAAATCATACAATATATGATTCGATATTTTTACTAAATACGTGTGCAACAGTTTAAAGAAAAATATTGGAAGAACTATTTATACAATTTTACCTTTCTTTCTGTCTTTTTTTTTTGGGTCTTTTGCATTATATTATAACTCTTGTATTGTTTTGTTAATTTTTTTAGTATTTGACATCGCATGAAACGAAACGTTTTTTATAATGTGAAATGCAGAGGGTGGGTGAGTTGGGGGATTCTGTTTCTCAAAATTTTATTTTCTATCAAAAGGTAGTAATCACAACAAGTAGAAGACTATGTATATGATGTAAACTATCATAGGTTTTATTTTCGTTGAACAAGCGAGAGAAAATGTCTTTTTGTTCACTCATGTTTACTATTAACATGCTAATGGAAATAATACACATACCACATTTGCTGTTTTTCATTCTTTTTTCAATCCATCAATGCAGTAAGGGTGTAAACTCAGTAAATAATCATTATTTGCCAAGTTTGCTAGACAACTAAAACCAGGCTCTGGGATTTGATGAAGACATGTTCATCACAACATGGGAAAAAGTTAATTTCGTCATCTGCGGATAAGGGTTTGATGATTTAGGGAGTAGCTCTAGAAGCTTGAGAGGCGCTCCGCCGTCGGTTCTTGAGAGTGTGCATGGGGCAAGAAAGAGGAAAGTAAAATGGAGACGGATGCCTCATCGGCAGTGGATTGAGGGGTAGAAGATTTTTCGGTGGTGGTGGAAATTATGAGTTTTTTGAGGTATAATTGCAATTATTGGAGATTTTAGTGCCTGTGGCGGCAAGGGAAACCTTGACAACTGTGGCGGGTTCGAGATGGCGAATCTGAGCATTGGTGTCGGAATTAGGTGCCGTAATGAGCGGTGAAGATTGGGGTTTAGGAGATAATAGAAAAAAAATAAAAAAGGTGATAAATGAAAATGAAAAAACGAAAAAGAACACGTGAACTGGAAGATAACAGAGCAATTGATGAAAAATTGTTAAATTACGGCAATATAACAAGTGAATGCAAAACTATAAATACATAAAAAAACTAATAAGACACGTGCAGCGCACGTGCACTTGTACTTTTCTAGTGTGATAAAAAAATTGTAAGATGGAGAATTGTTCATGATTTAGTTGTCCAATAATGGCCAGCACTTTCTTGGGCAACAAGTAGTTGACGATCCAAATGAAATACCATTTCACATATATTGTTGACTTACTATATTACTGCAAATTCAATCAACTCAGAAATCCGATCCCTTTGTGAAATTTGTGTGAGAAAGAAATTAAAGAGAGAGAGATCATAGAAATGGCTTATGCTGCTGTGATATCTCTAAAAACCGTAATCGAGCGCCTTCTAAAATCTTCTGAAATTTCGTTTGTTCCGCCCTCAAAGAAAATCATTAAATCTGCATACAAACAACTTTTGTCCTTACAAGAAGTCCTCAAACGATTTGATAATCGCAGCAGAATCAGCAGCGAGAGGGTGAATGCTTTAGATGGAGAAATCAGAGAGGTCGTACGGAAACTAGAAGACGTAATTGAATCCCGTGTCTCAACTCAGATTCTTTCTCAATCTGAAGAAATCCATCCATTGCTAGTACTCTCGCTGGACATGGTGGAAGTGAAGACCGAGATTGATTCCTTGAATGAAAAGCTCAAGAAGATGGAGGGGGAGTACGCTACCGAAATTGAAGATAATGATGCCGTTTCATCAAGAATTTATTTTGGTGGAAATAAGTCGAAGATGGTTGGATTATCCGATCAATTTCAAGAAATCCAAACACGGCTTTTGGATACAATGGAAACTTGTCAACTGATGGCCGTGTATCTTGTTGGAATGGCCGGGATTGGTAAGACTACTCTTGCTGTCGAACTTTTTGAAGATCCATTAACCACGAGTCATTTCGACGCTCGTGTGTTCGTCACCATAGGGAGAAAGTATCACTTAAAAGCGATCCTTGAAGATATTTTATCTCAAATGAATCCCGAGACTGATAAAATATTGCTCAAGGAAAGAGACGTGAAAGAATTGAAAAGAATGATGTACCAAAATTTGAAGGCTAAAACATACCTCATTGTTTTGGATGATGTATGGAATATGCAGGTGTGGGATGATTTGGGAAGGTTATTTCATGCCAACAAAAATCGATGTCGAATCCTACTCACAACTAGGGTCGAAAATATTTGTTCGGGTAGTGATATTTACAGTGTCCGATTATTGAATGAAGAAGAAAGTTGGGATCTTCTTCGCGAGAAGGTGTTTGGTGAGGAGTCACCGTGTCCACCTCAACTTGAGAAAGCTGGAAAGAAGATTGCTGAGAATTGTGAAGGTCTTCCTCTTCTAATCGTCACAGTTGCTGATATTTTATTCAAAGTTGACAAGACAACAGAGTACTGGAAAAAAGCAGCAGAGAAAGATAGTTCGGTTTTCATGGATGCAAATGATCAGATTATGTCAAAGGTAATACTTTTGAGCTATGAATACTTACCTCAAAATTTAAAATCATTGTTTCTGTATATGGAAGTTTTCCCTCAAAACTATGAAAGTCCCGGCACCAAGCTCGAGAACCTGTTGAATGCCGAGGGATTTTTTGAACCAACTTTTTATATAACCCCTGAAGAGCCTGTTTCAAAAAACTTTGTTATGATGCACAAGAAGAGCTTTATGACTTGGCACATGTATAACATAGAAGCTGAGAAAAACAAATTTTTCCATGTCGTAGATAGTTACAACACTACTTTAGCACAGGGTAAAGAAAACCATCGTCGATTGTGCATCCGCAACAATATTCTATTTGCCATCAAAGACGTGCAAAAGTCTATGGCATCCTTTTCAAACGCGCGCTCACTCCTATGTTTTGGTCCATATCATAAATATCCATTACCAATATGTTTGGAATATTTGAGGTTGCTCAGGGTATTCGATGCTGTTACAATCCGTTTGTACGAGTTCCCAATGGATGTACTAAAACTAGTTCAGCTAAGGTACCTTGCCCTCACTTATGACGGAAACCTTCCTCCTTCCATATCAAAACTTCGGAACCTTCAGGTATTGATTATCCTTCGACATTTAAACATCATTAGTTCTTGTGAGGATTTATCGTATTTGCCAATAGAAATTTGGGAAATGCAAGAATTAAATCATCTTCAGATCACGGGGAGCAATCTCCCGGATCCTTGTGGAGCTACCTTGCCAAACCTCTCAAGGCTTTTTGATATAAGCCCCCGTTGTTGTACCAAGAAGCTTCTAGAAAGAATTCCTCGTCTAGAAATGGTGAGAGTTCAATTTGATTATGCGCGTGATATTGCCGAGTCATCAAAGTGGTTCGATCTTATGTTAAATCTTCGGGGATCACTCTATTGTGTTATTTCAAATCCTATTTCTATGTCCAAAACTATGGTCCCACCGAGCCTTCCCAATTCACTCGATACAGGTGGTATTGGATGCTTAAGTTTGAGTGGGTTTGGGTATCCATGGGAATACATGAGACTTATAGCTACACTGTCGTGCCTTACTGTGCTAGAACTGCGATGCTATGCCTTTCGAGGGGCGAAATGGGAAACTCAAGAGAAGGCATTTCGATCGCTTAAGGTTCTTGTAATTGAAGACTCTGATCTGGTGCAATGGACGGTCGGGATTAAAGCCTTTCGATGTCTGGAGCATCTAACAATGAAACGCTGCCACAAACTAGAAGAGATCCCTCGAAGATATTTTGGTGCATCGAATAGGCTGAAGATTGAGATGGTCGATTGCAACCCTTTGGGGGTGGCTTGTGCAAAGGAAATGGAACAATGGGACAAGGACAGAGGAAGTGATTTTCGTAGTGTCTCTGTCCGTTCTTCGTGGGACGACTGAATTGAATGGGATGCATTTGCTCGAGCGGTTGAGGCTAAAGATTGATTGTTTAATACTGGAGGTTTTATTTTGTCCTGTAAGATGATTGTAAACTTGTTTGCATTGGTTGTTTACTTGTCTGTATTTAAAATAAAATAAAATGTTTGTTTTTGTGAATTGAGATTTTCAATGTATTTTGTGTTCCTTGTTTGTCCTCTCTGTGTGTGAGTGATGCTTATGCCATAAAAATTAAGTTCATTGCTGCTAATAAAAATTGCAATAATATTTCTGAATAATTATGATATTATTATTCTGAATGTAGCAATGTTCGTACAAAATGTGCATAAAAGGTTGTTCTATACAATTTACCTTTCTTTATTTCTTCTTCTTCTTCTTCTTCTTTTTTTTTTTTTCTTTGGCATCATACTATAACTCCTGTATTGGTTTGTTTATTATTTTATTTATTTGACAAAGCATGAAACAAAAAGGCTTTTATAATGTGATGATATGCAGAGGGTGGGTGAGTTTGGGAATTATGTTTCTCAAACATTTTGTTTTCTATCAAAAGTTTTGATAGTGATCACAATTAGTAGAATACAATTGACTCTTTTAGTTGGGGAGATTAGTCATGATTAACTAAATAATATGACTTTATTTGATGGTCGGTATTCCCAATAACTTGATAGGTCGCCCTGCAAATAATATGTTATCAATAGCTTATCTTGTCTTCTAGGTGTTATTTTTATTGGATCATCGACGGTTCAATAATCTAATTGAGTCTTATTATATTATTTAATTTTATCTTGATTAATCTTATCTTGGTAACTAAACGATGCCAATGTATATATGATATAAACTATCTCAAGTTCTATTTTCATTAAACAAGCGAGAGAAAATGTTTTTTTTTTTTACTCGTGTTTACCATTAACATGCTACTTCTTGCTGGAACTAATACACACACAGCATTTTCTATTTTCATTTCTTTTTCAATCCATCAATGCAGTAAGGGTGTAAACTCAATGAAAAAAATCATTATTTTTCAAGTATGCTAGAAAACTAAAACGGGGCTCGAGGTTGCAACGTAAAGTTGAAGAAGAAACTTGGGGCGAAGATGGAGACAGAAGAGAGGAATAGTCATCAAAGAAAGCAACCAAGAAGCAGAGAATTAGGTAAATAACAGAGAAATTGATGAAAATTTGGTAAATTACGGCTCAGAAATTTGAAAAGACAAAAATGCCACTCAAAATTGTGTGTGCAATGTCAATGTGTTTAATTTTGGCCTGAAAATAGCTAGAGATGGTAGCACAAATTATTAAGTTCACATGGGGATCGGATAATTGTTTTAACTTTTTTTCTTTTTTTATGAGATGGTAATTCGAGAAAACTGAAAAGGTTAGATTAAACAATACTATTTAACCTAAATAAATAAAATTAGATTCTTTCTATCGAAAGAAAATATCTATTTCCCAAAATGTATATATATTATTTACATTTAAACTAGTACTTTGATAAAATATAACAAGTGAAATGCAAAACTACAAGTACATAAGAAAATATGTTAATAGCATTTTGCCATATATACTTTGCCCGTTTCTGTATTTTTTAACAAAAAATTTTGCACGGGTACACCCAAATTATTATTTTGAGTTTTAACTCACTTAACCACATAGCGCGAATATTTAGACGGATCTTCATAACATCCAGCGAACGGCGAAGCACATGACTAATTACATGGGCTTTTTAGTTTTTTCACGTGAGAATATCATATGGAGTGAAATTGAAAGTTCCAAAGAATCAATAAAACTTAATTTGAAATTTTCCTAAATTGTAAATTAATGAAAATAAAGCTCCGGTTCTTTTCTTCTATGGAGGTTTTCTCCGTCATTAATTTTGACGGGTAGCATACAACAAATTGCTGGGAAAAAACGGCCGTATTATAATTCTCCAACACCAAACACGAGAAAAGAAAAAATACCCCAAATATCACACCACCACAAAATAAACCCTCATACGAAAAAACAAATTAACCCCTTTTTTCTTCCATCTACCGGGCAGTGATGACATGAAAATTGAAAAGGAGATGCTGGTAAAGAAAAATGGAAAAGAGTGCTGCTTGATTAAACTCCCATCAAGAAGAAGTACACCCCCTGAAAAAGAACCAGAGCTTTCAAATTTCAATTGAGTCCTCGGAAGAAGACCCAAAGTTTTATTTCCATTAAAATTTGGGTAACTTTTAAACCTAATTCAATTGAGTCCTTAGATCTTTCGATTTCACCCCTGTTAAGAGAATTGAGGAAAATTTGAGGTGTATTCTTCTCCATAGGAGGTACTATTTATACATATAGAGAGAAAGCTATACAAGGAAATAACTAATTACAATGAAATCAAATCTCCTAACTTATGTAAAGCATATCAAATCAAATCCCTAATTATTGATCTACAAGAATATACATTAACAACCCCCCTCAAACTCAAGGAGGATGACAAACCAACTTGAGATTGTAGACCAAATCACGATGAAGTCCCTTAGGATGAGGCTTTGTGAAGATATCTGCAAGTTGATCTTTGGAAGAGACCGAGAAGAGCTTAAGAACACCTTGAATAATGTTTCAACGGATAAAATGACAGTCTATCTCAATGTGTTTAGTCTATTCATGAAAGACATCATTGTGACTAATATGGATAGCACTTCGATTGTCACAATGAAGAGGAATGGGAGAGGATGTTGATACTCCTAAGTCCTTGATAAGCCATCGAAGCCAAAGGAGCTCAGATGTGGTATCCGCAAGAGCACGGTATTCTGCTTCAGTGCTAGAGCGGGCAACAAATGTTTGTTTCTTACTTCTCCAAGATATTAGAGATGTGCCAAGAAGAAAACAATAGCCAGTAGTTGACCTGCGATCAGTGGGATCTCCAGCCCAATCACTATCGGAGAATGCTCGAAGAACTAGAGGTGACTCAGTAGAGTAGAAAATACCATGAAAAAAGAGTACTCTTTAGATATCGAAGGATGCGTACAACGGCAGCATAGTGAAGCGATCTTGGAGCTGATAGATATTGACTCACTTGATGAACCGCATATGAGATATCAGGACGAGTGACAGTAAGATAGACTAGACTGCCCACCAAACTCCTATAAAGTGACAGATTTGACAACAGTGTCCCCCTGAGGGAGTCAAGTGAGTATTTAGTTCGACTGGAGTGTCAATGATCTTGCTATCAGTGAGTCCGGCTTGAGATAAGAGGTCAGAAGCATATTTGGCATGAGTAATGTAAAGACCATCTTTGGAGTGAGTAATCTCAAGTCCCAAGAAGTAGCTAAGGTGACCGAGATCTTTCATTTCAAACTGTTGACTCAGAAAATCCTTCAATTCTTGAATTCCACTAGGATCGTCACCAGTTATGATCATATCATCCACATATAAGAGGAGGAAGATGGAGCCTTTGTCAGTGCGACAAACAAATAAGGCAGAATCATAACAACTGGCAGAGTAACCCAAATGAGATATAGTGGAGCTGAATTTGGCAAATCAAGCTCGAGGGGCTTGTTTAAGACCGTAAAGAGCACGACGAAGATGACAGACCTTGTCTGAATCAACAGATAGTCCTGGCGGAGGTTGCATATAGACATCTTCAGCTAGTTCTCCATTTAGGAATGCATTTTTAACATCCATCTGAAATAGATCTCACTGACTAGCAGCGACAACGGCCAAGAGAGCACGAACTGAGGAGATTCGAGCAACTGGAGCAAAAGTCTCCTCATAATCAATTCCATACTCTTGAGTAAAACCCTTTGCAACAAGACGAGCCTTATATCGCTCAATGGATCCATCAGAGCGAGTCTTGATCTTGTAGATCCACTTACACCCAACAACAGACTGTCGAGGAAGGAGAGTAACAAGATCCCAAGTATGGTTTTTAGATAATGCATCAAGTTCGTCTCTCATGGCATTGTGCCATAAAGGGTCGGTGGAAGCCTCATGATAGGAGTTAGGTTCGTGCAAAGTGGCAAGAGTAGTGTAACAATGATAGTCAAGTAGATGAGAATGAATAGATCTTACCCTATTTGAATGGCGAGGCGGTAGATGGTCTGTAGGATCCTCAAGCGGAGCAGGAGCAAGGGACTCATGTTCAGAACTGGGCAGTTCGTGTGCGACCTGTTCATTTAGGGTTGGGCTGGAGCGAGGAGTAGGAGTATTTTCAAACAAGTCGATAGGAGAAGGAGACTTGTCCGAAAATATATCTAACTCGGGTGAGGTACTCAAAGAAGGACGAAAATGTGAAAGTTCAACAAAAAGACGATGTTCCCAAAAGACAACATGACGAGAGACACGAAGACGATGAGAGATAGGATCATAACACCGATAGCCCTTTTGAGTTTCTCCATAACCAAGAAAACAACAAAGGCGAGATCGAGGCTCGAGTTTGTTGTGTTCGTGTGGTTGAAGAAGAACAAAACAAGTTGTACCAAAAGAGCGGAGGTGATGATAGTCTGGAGATTTCATAAAGAGTCGCTCGTATGGAGTTTCATTTTGGATAACAAGACTTGGTAAACAATTAATAGCATTAATTGCATTCAAGGCAGCTTCACCCCAAAATGGAGAGGGAATTTTAGCAGAGAGAAGGAGAGCACGAACGGTGTCAAGAATGTGACGAAGTTTTCGCTCGGCTCGACCATTTTGCTGAGAGGTCCCTGGACAACTAAGGTGATGAACTGTGCCATAGGAACGAAGGATATTTTGAAAGGCATTTTGAGTATATTCAAGAGCATTATCAGATCGAAAAGTTTTGATGCGCTGTGAAAATTGAGTTTCAACCATTTTTGCAAAATTATTATATATTGACAATAGTTCTGAGCGGGATTTCATAAGAAAAATCCAACTGTAACGAGAATAATCATCAATAAAGACAACAAAATATCTAGAACCACCAATACTAGTAACGGGGGAGGGACCTCAAACATCAGAATGAATTAAGTCAAAAATTTTATTGGAAACTGATGAACTAGTATTAAATGGTAAGGCTGGTTGGTTACCCAACTGACACGAGGTGCAATCAAAATGTTCTTTAGACACAGAACCTAACACACCTTTAGAAGCTAATTGCTGAATACGAGATGTAGGAGAGTGCCATAAAACAAGAGAAGGTGAAGAAGATGTAGGTGTAACAGCAGCAGCAACAGAGATAGGAGCAACAGGTGGAAGACGAAGGTTATCCACGGGAAACATACGCCCAATTCTAGGCCCGGTCCCAAGCTCCTGTCCCGTCCTCGGATCCTGGACAATACATCCAGAGTAGTCAAAAGTAAGACGGTAGCCTAGTTCAGCTAATTGTCCCACAGAAAATAGATTATAAGATAGATCGGGAATGTGAAAAACGTCGGGAACAAGAATATTGGAAGTTGAAACAGACCCAAAGTTTTTACCATGTAAAGTGGAACCATTTGCTATATGAATGTTTAAAGGGTGTGGAGCAGGTTCAAGTTTAGAAAACAAGGAGGAGTGAGGGGTCATATGGTTGCAACATGCTGAATCGAAAAGCCAAGTTTGAGACTTACCAGGCAGGACTGCGAGAGCAGTGGAAAGAGATGCATTACCAGCCATACGAATAGCCTGAGTTATTATATCTTGTAATTCAGGTGATGTAAGGTGTATAGTGGATCCAGAAGACTGAGACACAGCTGAGGTAGAAGTCATTGGCGGAGTGGACTCGGTACTGCAACGGTGGATTTGTTTCGACGATAACATGTATCGATGGTGTGGCCTGGGCGTTTGCAGTAGTTGCAAAACTTTTTGGTCGACTGTCTATGCCGGTTATCGAACCCTAAATAAGAAGGTTGCTCTGTGTTGATAGGGGGAGCAACTGCGAGGACATTGAGCTTATTCTGCACTTGAAGAGTTGGAAGACGTGTTTCTTCTCGTACCAACTCATTAACAGCTATATCAAGAGATGAAAGCGGACTACGATTGAGAAGCTGACCTCGGATCGGTTCAAATGCTTTGTCAAGAGACATTAAAAATTCATAAAGACGAAATTCGTCTCGGACAGCAGCACAAAGTTGAGCATATTTAGGGCACGCCCAAACTGGTTTAGACAAATCAATTTGGTCTCATATGTAGCGGAACTGATCTTAATAATCATTGATGGATTGCCCTGGTTCTTGGCGAAGTTGGTGCAATTCAACAACCATCTGATATTTCATAGATCCATGAGAAGTCGAATACCGTTTCGCTAACATGTCCCATGCGGACTTGGCATCGCCATAACTGCCCAATAAGTTGGAAATTGAAGGGATTGATGTATTTCTGAGCCATGTAAGAATCATGTGGTTGTGGTTGTCCCACTCAATTGTACGACCAACAAAGGCAGAGTCTGCTTCATCTTTCGCTTGAACAGGAATAGTGATTGCACCAGTACAATATGGCCAAAGCATTCGACCTTGAGAAAACTTCGCATAGCTTGAGACCATGATAAGTAATTCTTGGTTCCCTCGAGAGTACTATTGATGGGTCGAGGAAGAAAATTGTCTCTTTTGTCCATACTTTTTTTTTAATAAAAACGGACGTAAAAACTGAAATCTATGCGAAAAATAGGGTAAAAATGACCTAAAACTCAAAGTCAACAGATGACTGACGCTGATGTGGCGGACTGGCGCTGATGTGGCGGACTGACTCAGCAGTACAAAGTAGTGGTGATGTGGCTGTGATGTCAGTGATGACGTGAGGATGACGACACAGAGATGCAGCAAACCAGGTGTGGAGCGCGTGGGCGAGCGCGTGTCGGCGCGTGAAATTCTTCAGCGGCAGTATGTTGCGCGTGTCGGCACGTGACGGCGAGTGAGCGGCGCGTGTCGGCGCGTGGACGCGTGAAATTCTTCGACGGTGGTACAGGGGCGCGTGAAACTGCGCACACGACCTTCTCGGGGCGCGTGCGGTCTCCGATGGCAGTCTGGTTTTCACTGATGAGTAGATCGTTTAACGGCGATCTTGGTGGTATGATCAGAATCTGGATCAGAGCGATGACGCACGCACAACAGTGGTTTTATGGTGTTTCGGCGGAAGCGAGAACCAAAGAAAAAAAAAAGACAAGAACACCACAATGAAACCAAAAAAAAAAATTGCTAGAAGATCAGAGATTGTCTCTTGGTACCATGTTAAGAGAATTGAGGAAAATTTGATGTGTATTCTTCTCCATAGGAGGCACTATTTATACATGTAGAGAGAAAGCTATACAAGGAAATAACTAATTACAATGAAATCAAATCTCCTAACTTATGTAAAGCATATCAAATCAAATCCCTAATTATTCTACAAGAATATACATTAACAACCCCTATATCATATTTTCAAATTAAAATACAAAAAAACCCATGTAATTAGTCATGTGCTTCGCTCATCCTAGGTAGTTAAGTGAGTCAAAATAACAGATTTGGGTGTACTCGTGCAATTTTTGTTAAGGTGGCAACGTGCAAAAACACGCAAAGTACAACTGGCAAATGATATTGACCCTAAGAAAATTAATAAGCCACGTGCACCTAGTCTAATACATTTTAAAATGTAACAAAAAAAAATCACATTTTTTTTATCTCAACTCTTACAATTGCAGACAAATATATAAAACATAAAAATATAGAAAAAGAAAAAAGAATAAAATAAAAACATAAAAATAAAACAAAACAAAAAACAGTAATATAAAAGGATTATACACACTCAAAAAAGAAAAAGCAAAAAAAACAACAGTGGGTTGGAGATGTTATAAGATAGAATTAGAATGGAATGGTAGATTTAACGTCCTCATTATCCCATGAAGATTGAACATCAATAGCAAATGCAAAGCCGCAATAATAGTGGGCCCAGTTATTATCTCTTGCTTTCTTTGCACAAGCGACGGCGCGTGGGTTGCAGTCGACTAATTGAGCTAATTGCAAATACCACCCCTGTGTTATCTCTAATTGTCAAATACCCCCCTGTGAAAAAAAAACTCACCAACACCCCCTTGTGTTAACAAAGTCAGAGCATCGAGACCCCTGGAGGCAAATCGTGTCACTCACTCGCGGATTGTGCGATTTTTAATAGTATTTTTAGGGTGAAATGTCATAAATACCCCTTTATAAAATAAAAAATAACCTTATTAGTTAAATTATGAATAACCTAAATTTATAGGACCAAATTGTAATTTTCAGAATTCAAAGTAATAATGTAAAAAATATTATATTTCATTAAAAAAAAAAAAAAAAAAAAAAAAGAAAAAATCATTGTCTTCTTCTTGTTCCCCACCCCCAAACCCCAACCCCAACACCACCATCTCATCTTCTACAATCCACATACCAGACCCGAATCCGCACAATCCGAGGGAAACCCAGCCCCAATTACAGTAATGCCTTATCTACAACATCTTCAAACGATTTTTCTCGACGGCGACGAGTTTGACGGCCAAACCTGCTAGGCCCAAAAATTGCATTTTTTTCTTTTTTCTTCTCTTGCTCGCCTTATCGCCGCCATCGTCGTCAAAATAGGAGATCGTGGGAAGGGTTGAGGCACGCGTAAATTTTATTGGTGCAAACTAAAAGTTCAAAGACGTTGTGGGCGACGGATCTGGAGAAGATGGTGGTGGTGGTGGTGAAGGAGGGGTGAGATGGTGGTGAGCAGCAGCGGAGCAGAAGCCACGGCCGGGTGGAGAAATGATGCTGTGGCCTGTGAGTTGAGTGGTGCTATGGCCTGTGAGTTGTGTGGGAGGGGATGTCTGAAGAAGACGACCTTTTCTTTTTGTTTTTTTTTTTCATTTAATATAGAATGTAAAAAAAAAAAATAGAAAATATATAAAGACTTTTAATGTTACAGTATATATTTCATTATGATTTAAATATTTTTTTATTTAATATCTACAGAATAAAAAATATATAATATTATAAAATAAAAAAATATTTAATATTTATGAAATTATAATATGCATTATTAATTGCTGAAAAACCCCATAGGGGTATTTTTGTAACTTTACCTTCAGTCAAAGCCTAAAATCACAAAGGGTGCAGTGTGCTTCGAAAATGTTAACACAAGGGGGTGTTGGTGAGTTTTTTTTTCACAGGGGGGTATTTGACAATTAGAGATAACACAGGGGTGGTATTTGCAATTAGCTCCGACTAATTCAATCTTTTCAAGAGCAAAGCAAAAATGCACCGGGATCTTTTTTAACTTGTAGCAATGCTTTATGCTAAGGCAACTAAGATTTTCGAAGCCAACGTAATCATTGTCTGTGAATGCCAAATGCACCAGATCAGCGTCTTCAATCAGAAGAAATCGAAGCGCTTGAAACTCATCGCGGCCAACTTTCCACTTCGGACCTCGAAAAGCATAGCATCGCAGTTTGAGGACTCTAAGATTCGGTAACGAAGAGATCTTGCGTATTTCTTTCCATGGGCATCCTAGGCCGCTCAAAGTCAACTTTACAAGACTCTTCGGAAAGACTGAAAGACGAGCGTGTGGAGAGACAACCTCAGACGTGATTTCAGGATTCACAACGACACATTTAAGTGTTTTTAGTTCACGGAGATCGGAGATGTGATTGAGGCAGAGCAAATATTGTTGACCGGCGTTGCCGAGAGCCAATACAATTCGAATTCCTAACTTTTGTAGATTAGGGATTCTTTTGAAAGCGTCTTTGGTACAACTTTGAGCACTAACATCTACGAGTGCCAAAAGGTTTGGTAAGAGAGATCCGTTACGAGGTTTGGGTAGGTTGCTTCCCATGATTTGAAGATGCTCCAACTCTTGCAAATTCCATATCTTTATAGGCATATACGAAGAATTCCCATCGGCTTTTATAATAGTTAGATTCTGAAGAATAATCAAACACCTAAGGTTCCAAAGTTTGGATATGGAAGCAGGGAGCTGCCTGTTGAATGTAAAGGCAAGGTACCTCAGATGAACTAGATTAAGTACTTTCTTTGGGAACTCGTAGAAACGAATTGTAAGAGCATCGAGTACCCTTAGCAACCTTAAATATTCCAAGCATATTGGTACAGGATATGGATGATGTGGACCAGGGCATAGGAGCGAACATACCGTTGAAGCGGACATGATTGAGTTGTACACATCTTTGATAGCGAATAAAACGTTATTGCGAATGCACAGTCGACGCTGGCCTTTCAAACCTTCTGCTAAACCATCAGCACAAACATTTAAATTGTAGAAAAACTTGTTCTTCCCAGCTTCTTTGTTAGACAGGTACCGAAACGAAGAATGGAGGCCGTAACTTTTTATTCCTTTGTCGTCAGTGCTCCTCTTGTGGACCTTGACGACATTCCTTGATGCAAGTTCATTCAAGAATTCTAGAGCACTACTTTCTGAAGTTTTGTTCTGAAATGGCTCGGGAAATCCTTCACCGCTCCACCATTTGATGATCTTAGAAAGTCGGATCTCGTAATTTTGAGGGAATACTCCCATATAGAGAAACAATGATTTCAAATGTTGAGGTAAGTATTCATAGCTTGGAAATAGTACCTTTGACACAGTTTGATCATTTGCATCCATAAACATCGACTCTTTTTCCTCTGCTACCTTGTTCCAGCACTCCGATGTCTTGTCGATTCCCGATAGTAATTGAGCAACCGCGACTATCAGAAGAGGAAGACCTTCACAATTCTCGGCAATGTTTCTTCCAGCATCCTTAATCTGGGGCGGGCAAAACTCGTTTTGAGAAAAAGCCTTGTCCTCGAGAAGAGACCAACTTTCTCCTTTGTCCAGAAAAGGCATTTCAATAGCATAACCACGAAAACACGACTCGGCTACTCCTCGTAGCCTAGTTGTCAGCAAGAATAGACTTTCGGAATCTACGTCACGCGGAAAAGAGCCTTCCAAATCATGCCAGACTTGTATGTCCCACACATCATCCAACACGATGAAGTATGACGTATCCCTCAAACTTTCATAAACATACTCAGATAGTACTTCATCATCTCCTTCCATAAGCATCTGCTTAGTATAATAATCGTGATCCGGATCAACTTGAGCTAGAATACATTTCAAGATTTCTTTCAACTGATATCTCGGGCCTACCGTGACAAACACACAAAATTCGAAATAATAATCAGTATTTAATGGATCTTCGTAAACTTTCTTGGCAAGAGTAGTCTTCCCGATGCCCGCCATCCCATACAGCGCGACGGTCCGAATCCCCTTGTCAGAATAGAGATAATGTTTGACTTTCTCTAACAGATCGAAAAACGCTTCCTTGTTTACACCAAGATCAATTGTTGACTTAACAGCATCGATACCGTCTTCTTCGGGAGGCTCCAATAACCGGTTGTGTAATTCGTCAACGTACGCCTTCTTCAGCTTCTTCACTGTTGTTGTAAATGACTCGATATCTCGTCGTACGTCTCGCATGGAGAATGTCAATGGCTGTCGTCTCTCGGATGGTGATTGAGAGAGAAACTGATTCGAGATATGGGATTCGAGAAAATCTTCGAATTCCCATAATGCATCCCTGATTTGTCCATCCAAAGCGTTCACTCTCTCTCTGTCGATGTTGATGCTGCTATCCAATTCTTCGAGAACTTCTTGCAAGGAACGAATCTCCTCGTACAGATGTTTTATGATTCTTGGAGAGGGTTTTATGACAATTGGAATACGAGAAGATTTTAAAAGGCGCTCGATTGTCTGCGTAAGAGAAATCACGGCACCGTAAGCCATCTAATTACACCTCACATAGATTACAATGAAATTGAACAACGACACTTTAGCATAAGTATTTGTTGATTAAATGATTATAAGAAAGCCTGGCTTAATTTGCAGAGATGTGATCAAAAGTCAACCAGACGAAGTGATAATCAAGGTACAACATGCAGTACAACTAATGGGCATTGTAGTCAATTCCAAAACATTTTGACGAGGTAAGACACTAAGACTTATCTTACATAAATTATGACCAGATGATTATCATTAAAATTCATTAATTTCGATTGAGGTAGTTGAAGTTAATGATTTTGAAAAAGTTGCATTATAAATTGTATGTGTCAATACTTTTGGGTTTATTGCAATTAGTACCCATGTGTTATGTGGAATTGTTAAAAAACTGATTCATGTTCTTTTATTGGCATATACCCCCTTATGATTCATTTTTTTAGCACACAATCTCTAAACATGGGCATTGATTGCTTAAAGAAACTAGATCGTGGGGGTTGTTATTTTTTTGGCAATTTGACATAACACCTATTTGCCAGAAATCAACCATATAAACTTTCTTTTATTTTCTTTTTTTTTTTTTTTTTGAAAAGTACAACGTGTATGCCAGTCTAAAAATGGGCATTGATGAGAGGGACAAACTACCAAGGATAACTGACTTAGTACTTCACCTGTGCGTTGCACGGAAATCAATTTCAATATGAGAACAATAATAACGTGTAAGTGACTATCTATTTGTAACAACTCTAATTCAAGTAAAAAAGAATGATAGGAAATAAAAAAAGATAAACTTTATCTTCTAATTCAATTAAATATTATAAAGAAGAGAACACGAAACGCGCAAAATGCGACATGAAAATTAAGTGAAATCATTTAAAACAGATAGTATAACTCTATTTTATGAAATGCTATCTACTACACCATGTGAATCTTAACAAAATAACTAACTTAACAACAAACACTATAGCAAAGAAGTAACATTTAAATAACCTGCAAGTTTGCCACTAACGACATCCAATCAGTGATGGACATTACTCAAACAACAATAAAACTTATAAAAAATGCAAAATAGATGAAATGTATACGCAACTATTTTGAAAGAACGATTAGTACTAGAACATGAAAGGAAGAATGACACATTACTAATACAGATACTGATACTGATACTAACACTGAGGCTGATACTAACACTTCTACTAAGGGCCCGTTTGACAGGATTAAGCGCTGAATATTGAATGTTGAATATGTGTCTGAATGGCTAAAATTGTGTCTTAATGCTGAATGTTGAACAATTAAATTCATTTGATAACTTAATGTCTGGATATTATTATTTTCCTATTATACCCTTATTTAATGCTGGCATTTTATTTGTTAATTAATTTTGATTAACATATATAAATAAACACAATTTTATGCATGATCTACCTAATCAATAAAATTTAAAATTTAGGGTAAATTACAAACACCCCCTGAGGTATGGTCAAATTACAAAAACCCCCTCTTGTTTGGATAATTACATCTACCCCTCAACTATGATTTTTTCTTAGACCTCCACCCTAATGGTGCCGAATTCAACATAGTCATCTAGATTCCGTGAAATGTGCTCTAGTTTGTACTCGTTTTGTGTAAAAATACAGTTTCTGATGCACCACAAACTGATATATACAAGCTAAAAATCACATATTATGATCTTGATTCACAATGTAGAGTTTGAATGAGATAAAACGGGTACAAAAGTGATAATATTCCATATAATCTCGAAGATTCCACTAAATTTGAGGAGTTGAAGGGGTGGTTGTAATTATCCAAACAAGAGGGGTGTTTTTGTAATTTGACCATACCTCAGGGGGTATTTGTAATTTACCCTAAAATTTAAAACATTTAACATAGATAAAATATAAAATTCGAACAACTAATAAATATAACATTCACGAATAAAAACAGCTAAAATATGGAAATACTTTAAAGTCGCTAAAATTTACCTAAAAGATTAAAGTCATAAAATCAACGTCAAATATTTTTATAAATTCTAATTGGTCACTCAATGCATCAACCGAGTTGCTATCTCATCGTCCACATTTTTCATATACTGCATGTCTTCGAACCCCCACCATGGTCCGGTAGTTGTACCATCATTCTCATGGTCTTTTCCATCCTCATTCGCACCATCAAAAGGCATATTGGGTTGATCAAGTTCCTCAAAAAATTTATCACTATTACGCTTTTTTCTTATAAAATTATGCACTGCAAAACAAGCATTCACTGTATTTGTTTGCACATCTAATGAAAAAGGGGCCATCTTTTCTAAAATCGGAAATTTATTTTTCAGAACTCCATAAGTTCGTTCAATGACATTCCTTAGTTGAGCATGAGCATGGTTAAATGTTTATTCTTTAGTCAAAGCACATCTACGACGATAATCTTCTAACCAATATCGCACATTGCTATACAGAACCATAAATCCTCTAGTATGTGTGTATGGTGCATCACAAAGATAGTATTTACCTGTAATTATAAAAATAATTCAAGATCAGATTTAACGTATAAATAATTAGAATTTATAGCTTGAATTTAAAGTAATAACAGCGGGAGGCCATGGAAAATTGTTTCCCAGACAACAACTGTATCTGTTAAGACTTTTGAATCATGTGTTAGCCCTTCCGAGCCCGCCCAAACGAACGTAAACATTATATTAAAGTCGCATATTCCTAAAATATTTTGATAACATTGACCATTTTCCTCTTCCACTGTACATAGTTTGATTTGAAATCGGAACAACAACATGTACTAGTATCCATCAAGCACCAACTGCTCCCTACATTTATATTAAAAAGAAATTGAAGAAACAAGAAGAGAATTAAATAATGATGGAAAAATGATACGATACACAATATCTACCTTAAAAATTCGGTGTAACCTCCTACAACTTGTCGAAATATTTGGATTCGGCTTAAATGTTGTTGGTACTATTATGTCCCTTGCCATATTTATTATTGCACTCAACACTTTGTGAAAATACGCATGAACTGTTTGTGAAGAGTGTTAAAATCTACACTTCACTACACGAAGACGCTTAGTATGCCCAATAATCTGTTAGAACATTGTCATCATTATTTCTTCTACTGATAAAGCACAGGGCCGACCCTTATAGGAAGCCAAGGAAGCCAAGGCTTTGGGCCCCCAATTCCAAAAGGGCCAAAAAAAAAATGTTATATATATATATATATATATATATATATATATATATATATATATATATATATGTAATTTACATGAAAAATAAAACAACTATGTGCTTTATTTTGGTAGTTCACGCCACCCAACACGCACCTCCAACTTAAATAATTTTTTTTAGGGGCCTTAAGATATAAGTCCCTAGTGAGAAAACTTATTAAAACTAAATGACAAGCTTAACTAAATCTTTGCTACACATCCTTTATAAAAATCATTCCAAAAATACCCCCACTTAAAAGTTTAAAATATGCTTTAATTAAAATTCATATTGCATTTATCATCTTTTTAGTCTGGGATATTTTCATTCTTCCATCTTATATTTTTATTTTTACAAAATACACGTTTTTCTTTCTTTCTTTTCTTTCTCTTTCTTCATTTAAGCATTTTTTACACTAATATAAAACAAAACAAAAACCTTTTTTTCTATATAATATAGAAAATTACGAAAAAAAACATGTTTTTTTTAATCCAATTTACATATGTTTTTATATTTTGTTTTAATTTTATATGTTGGTGTACTATGATATACTACGATGTACTATAGTTTACGGTGTACTATAGTTTACTACTGCTTACTATAGTTTACTACGGTATACTATGGTTTACTATGGCGTAGTATTCCAAACCCTAGCATAAAAAAAAAATTATCAGCCGTCGGCAAACCCTAGAGCAAACAAATCACAGTCGCCGCCAACTACTATCCAGCAACCCTAGCCGTCAACTAAAACCCTAGCATCGTAAAAAAATCCCAGGTTGATGCAATCGCCTCCAACCATCGATCTAACCTTACACCACCATCTCTAATGACCACCTCCACCATAACCATCACCAGATCTATAACCACGACCACCACCGCCATCGCCATAGACCCACCTCCGCTGCCCCCTCTACACCCTCCCCCTCCACCGCACTGTCGCCGAGGTCTCCAAGAACCTCGAGATCTTCAGATCTATGTCTTGCCTCCTTCACTCTACTCTATTGCTCGGCGACGGATCTGGATGGATCCTCAAAATCTTCAGATCTCGACATAGTGGCGGTGGCATCCTCGGTTTGCACCCATTGATTTGCAAGACAGAGAGAAAACATGATGGGCTTACGACAAAAATATGAGAGAAGGAGAGAGATGTGGAACGGTTGAGAAGAAGAGAGAAAAAATTGAGGTGTGGTGAGTGGGAAAAAAAAGACCGTGAGAAGAGAGAATGAGAGGAATGAGAGATAAACCTAATATTTTATTATTTATATTAAAGGTATTTTCGGGTTAAAGAAAAATAAAAGGATGTGGGTCAAATTTTATTTTGAACTAAGGATTTAGTTAAGATATTTTATTTGAGGTTGTCATCTACTTCAAATTAAGTTTGTGTTGAGGGACTCCTAGCATATTACCCCTTTTTTTTATAATTCTGATGGGCCCTTAGGGCTTCAAGAAAAGTAAAAAACAAAACATAAATAATGGACACAAAACACTTTTATTGAAATTAAAAAATCTTTCTACCCTACTCACTGTAATACTTTTTGTGCCCTTTCCCAAAATTAAAAGGTATGTCTTTCGTAAATTAATTTCAATTTTCAGTCTGCAGTGTGATTTGTTTTGCATCAAAATTTTAGGAAAAATAGATTTGGGCTCTGATTTACAAGTCTAGATTTTTATTATATGTTTTTTGTCCTTTTTCCTAGGCTAAAAATTTTTGGAATTGATCGATATTCGTGTGTTATTATTTTTTTTTTTGGCCAAAAGATTTATTATTCCATTTAAAATATGCCGGGGGCCTCGTTAAAAACTTGTGGGCCTAACACAAGGAAAAAGAGTAACCCTACAATGGAAATAAAAAATCATTATCTAGTCTACCTAGACTAT